CAAAACCACCTGATCTTAATCGAGAGTTATCTTAAGTGATTTCGATCATTTAAGATGTAATTAACTATAGGGGCTTGCCTCTATAGGGAACCAGGAACCCAGATAAAATAAAACCCTATCTAATTTTTATGTTAGATAGGGGAACTTGTTGGCCTTTTTATAAAAATATTTCGCAGACCAAACGGATGTCACAAATTGTTTAGTCTAGATGATTAAATCCCTATTACAAAGTAATATATTTATTCTTCGGGATAAGTGTATTGCTTGTAGTATTGTGTTAAATCATCTAAGCTATTTAAAATGTGAGACTCGTTTGGTCTCACTTATTTTAAAAATTAAAAACGTTACTTCTTTAAAAAGGTTATATTTATATTTAAATTATTTTCAAAATCCCAAAATCATCACCGTTTCCAAACTACGAAAGTGAAGTTGAACAATAAAACGGCCGACAACGGGTTATCACACTTTTTTGGGAGAAATTTTAATGAAGAAGCAAGAAGTCAATATACTTTAGATTTAGCACTAAAGTTGAATTTCGATCAATAACCTATGAAATTTGCAAACTATTGTGGATTAAAATCAATCTAATTTATTTGGTAGTGAAATGGGATGATACTGTAAAGCTATAGTGTGACAATAAATCAACTATTAACATTGCACATAACCTAGCCTAACTTGATCAAATTAAACACATACAAATTGATCAACACCTCATCAAAGAAAAACAAGATAGCGGGCTAAGATGTATACCATCTTTTCAAACACAAGCAATTATTTGACATTCTATTTGAGAGGCTTCTGAGCTCAACATTTCAAAATATCACATCCAAATTAGATATATAGAATATTTAATCCGTAGCTTGAGAAATGCTCATGGTCTTACTATCTAGGCTCGCAATCTATTGAATTACAACTTAAGAAATTTGTGGAGCAATTGCTATGTAATTAGTTGTTTCCAAAGTTAGAAATAGCTAGTGTAGCGTAGAATCCTGTTGTGTAGCTGTAAAAATTTGTTAGCGAACTAATCCTCCTACAATATAAAATATTCTATTTATAAGAGCATTTAAGAAAACAAAAGAAATGAAACTAATCAAAGGGAAACTGAGTGCATTCAATTTGTAATCTTTCATAAAAGATAATATTATTTTGAAAGAATTTGCCCGAATAGACCGCTATTTATAATTACAGAATGAAACTAAATAATGCATTATTATGTAAGCGACTATGATGTCATACTGTATATAGATGACATGACATTTTTATTAATGGTTTACTTCTACTTAAAGTGCATATTGCACATTTTAGATTTATGCTTGTTTTTTCATATTTTTCTTTATTTATTTCTGCTTACAGGTGGTTAATTCTATATGTGTGTTGTCAGTTGACGAAAGAATAGCTTCCTGTGATGGCACTATTCACATTTGGAATGGACAAACCGGAAAACTTATTACAACTTATTCAGAATCTTCAGTTAATTTTTTACATCACATTGCGGCAACAACATCTAAAGTGACTGTGAAGCAGATGAATGTGCTAACACCCTATTCGCTTTCCGGCGGACTTTTGTCAAATGCCTTCAGTGGAAACCTCTACACATGCATGCATCACCTTGAGTCCAATCATAAGCTCATCGCAGGCATGGGAAACGGTTCAATTAGGTAATTACAAATTTCTCAATTTTTAGCCCTTGGTAATTTTGCTATTTTTGCTACGTGCATGAAATCAGTTATTTGGATGATTCTGTCCACAAATTACTGAAAAAAAATGAGAAAAAAATCTGAAATTCAAAAAATCGAACCGAATAAGCTTTTGCTAAAACTGATCCAGACCAAACCGAAATATAATTTGGTTTCATTGGTTCACTTTGGAGCAAACCATATTTTATCATTTTGCCTAAATAATTAAAATTAAGATTCTATTTCAAAATTAAAATTCTCATTTCTCTTTCTTTATCTCCTCATAATCTATTTAAGATTAAAAAATTAAAACTGACCTAAAATAAACTTGCAATATGCTTAATTTATTTTATTTCCAAATGAATTTAGTTTCCTAATCATAATATTATTCGGTTTTTCAGTTAAAATTGCATTGGAAATTGAAAATTGAATATTAAAATTTTAAAAACTAAAGGTCACTTTGTTATTTTATAACTGAACCAAATCAACCAAATGTGCTCAGTTCGGTTCATTTTTTTGGTTTTGAACAAATAACACACGCCTAATTTTTGCTTTTGAATATCTTTTCTCAATAGAAAATGCGTTGATTATTAAGATTTTTAATTTGTTTGTAGATTTTTAAACATTTATTTCTGTTTGGATATGGGATTTAAGAAATGAGAGAACCTTACCAAATGAAGGCCATTTGCTAGATGTCCAAGAAGCTAATTTGTAAAATTTGTTGTTGTTGTTGTTTCAATGTTGACTTTGAAAATCCCTGTTGACTTTGAAATTATATTGGAATGATTTTGGGTTGATTTTCTGGAAGATAGATTGAATATTAAATAAGCCACTACTCAAAAATATTGAAGCATAAAGTTTGAGAATTACGGTTTTTCCCTCCTACAAATTGGGCTGCCAGAAGAGTTTTCTTGATGAGTAAATTATATTCTTGAAAAACTTCGATGGTCTTATGTAGATGCTTTACGCGTATCTTTATGAAACCTGAAGCTAATTTCTTATTCCAAGATCCATGACATGAAGGGTTGTTTTGATTGGCGGTGAGAGATTGTAATGATTTGTTTGTTGGTTGGGTAAAATTGTCAAGGTGTAGGGCCATTTGACTTCAATCCTGGCATGTGATGTGAAGGATCATGATTTATATTTTCCTGGCATTTAAGACCATCATTTACTTCTTGACGTTGTGTCTATTTACATGATTTGTACAGGGTAAAAAATAGTGGATTGTGCATTTCAATACTGTTTTAAGAAATTCCAAGGCACTAAACATGGCTCTTAAAATTATCTTGGAATTTTGTAAAGGTTCCTGTAGTTTTTTTAGTTTTTTCTTTTCTTTTTTTTTTCTTGTTTCCCCGTTTCAACATATTTTGTATTTTCCACCTTTTTGTGTTTTTATTTATCATATATATATATATATATATTGGTGCCTAGATCTTGCAGCCGTTAGCATTTCAGCAAATTTTTACCGATTGTCAACTCAATAGATGACCTCCTAAAATTTTATTGTTAATGCTTATAAAGCGTATAAGAAAAAAGTGGCAACCTACCTGAAGGACCAAAAAATAACTTGAATTGGTAGGCAAGTACTGCATTGCCATTAAATTAAATGCACATTTATGTATGTATGTACATATACATATGTATCTATGTATGTATGTACATATACATATGTATCTATATATATATGTACATATACATATATATATCTATATATATATATACATACATATATATACTCCCATGGCGTCTTCATGAGTAGCCCTCGTTATCTCTTCGTCGGATCGAAATCACAGCCTCTTCCTTCATCATACTTCGTCGTCTGCTCGACTTCGCGTTTCCTTCGTCGCGCTTCGTCTCCCTCGAATTCGTCTGCATCGAATTTGTCTGCTCGACTCCGTCTGCTTCGACTTCGCCTACTCCGGCTTCGCTGTTGCGTCGTTTCCGCGTCCTTCGTCATGCCTTGACAAAATTGCAGCCTTGTCTGCGGCACTTCTTCGTTAAGGCCAATACGTTGCATCGAACCTGCTCACGTCGTTCGTAGGCGGCAGTTTTGCTCGCCTATTTTTAGCGTCCAGCGTCCAGCGGCTCCCTAGCTGCTTTGGAGATGGCATCCACGTTCCGCTCTTATGCCACTGCACTTGTCGGCAACATTCCTATTCCTACTCGTGCTTTTCTTTCAGGTTCAGAGTGGTTTTCATATTGGCAAGTCCTGCAATGTTCCTCAATCTTTTCACTACGCTCTTGAAGGTGGTGGCGATCACACCTTCATAAAAAAATTAGGAAAAAAAAATTGGAAGTCTGCCATGGGAAGCTTGCTCTTTTTCTCACAGAGGTTGAAACCAGTACTCTCACG